GATCCTGCGCTGTGGGAGGACAAAGTGGGAGGCGATCCCTTAGACTTCGATGTTGTCACCACACAAATCAAAGCCGCTCTCAAAGAGCATAGAACGTAGTGGTGCAGACTAGACCGGTCTTTAAGGATTGCCCTGAAAAAGGACCCAGTGAATCCCATGAGAGCCAGAGAGCAGAATCAGAACTCACGCTGAGTGGGGTTCATGGTGCTTCCAGACTAAGATGGACTAGGGAGAAAAGCTGAGTGGTCTACTTCTGGAAAACCAGCCAGCAGAAGCCCCCTGACTCTCAACAGTTTCATCTGCCACTGGCTGGGGATGGCGCAGGACTAGGTGGCATTTATTAATGATGCACGGGGTCTCCTTGAGTGAGGGGCCAACTTCATGGCAGCCACAGCCATAACAATGTCATTGCAACGCAAAGGAAAAGCAAAACAAAGCCTAAAATAAAGGCGAGTTCTTTAAACAATGGAATAAGCTACTTTGGGAGGCATTCAGGAAGCATGAGCCTGAAGGGTCCGGGAATTGGCACGATCCTCTCACGGAGCAGCTGGTGCGATCCAGCCACCAACCTGTGGTTTGACAGCTGAGGGCTTGGCCACTGCACCAAACTAAACCATCGAGTTGAAGGTGACTCACAGAGACCCTGTAGGAAGAGTAGAACTGCCCCCTGTGCGTTTCTGAGACTGTAACTCTTTGTGGGACTATAAAGCCCTGTTTTTCTCCCGAGGGGAAGTTGAGGGTATCCTCAAACTGCTTACCTCGAGGATTGCAGCCCACTGAGTAACCACAACCCATGCCCTACCAGAAGGAATCGTTCCATGCCCGTGTCCCGCCTCCCCCTCCACCCACCACTGCTCCGTTTTGCTGCTCCAGGCGCCCCTCCCCCACACTTTTACTGAGTTCTGAGGTCCTTCCGTGTTGCTGTCTCTTGGACCCACTCAGACAAGAAGCCCCATGGCACTTTGTCATACACAGCAGCTTGGCGCTTGCACACCCCGGTAGGGCCACTTCAACTGTCTCATCCACTGATCCACTGAGGCGCTGACACATTTTTTCGACAATGGCACCCTCCACCTAGAAACAGCACTGCCCTAGAAGGCATTGGGGGTCAGGGGGATGAAGGGTGGGAGGGTAAGGGGATGAGGGTTCCCCTGATGGAGTGGTGGCGGTGTATTTGAATGTGAGTTTCAGCATGTAGATACCAGGAAGCACACCTGTGTGTAGGTATCCCGATGATATGTCCATCCTCCCACGGTGCATACATCTTTTTCTTAAGTAAAAAGTGGGGGACCCTAGGGACTAAAAATTGTAGATCAAGTGTTTTCATTTCCTAGTTGAAGAGGGAAGAGAATGTTCTCATTACAGATGATAAAGCCCAGAAAAATATGTAAATTATGCCCTGGTGACTGTAAGGATGTTCTCTGTTTGCAGGTCCACCCGCCCCCCACCCCACCCTTAGCGACTAGTTCTGTTCCCGCTGAGATCCCTTGTACAAGAAGGAAGCATTGCCCCATGGACACCAGTCTCACCATCACTGCTGTGTGGAGCCCACTGCAGCGGCCACCATGCCAACTGGTCTCTCGGGTCTCCTCTTTGTCACTACCCCTTTATTTCACCAAGCACAACCACCTTTTCCAGGGACTCGTCTCTCCTGGTGCCAGGTCCAAAATATTTGAAATGAAGTCTTGCCATCCTCACTTTAAGGAACATTTTGGCTATCCTATTTCCAAGACAGATTTGTTTGTTTTTCTGGCTGTCCATGGTATGTATATTCAACACTCTTAGTCAACATCGTCACACGAATGTCCCCCTCTTCCCATGGAGCACTAAGACAGTCTTCCTTATGCACTGCCTATCTTTCTCCCGCACAGGAGGTCATTCAAAATGCCATGTTTGGAGACAGGCACACCTTAGTCTTCAAAGAGATAACTGGGCAATTTGAAACTTCAAAGTGATCTTTTGCAGCAGATTTGCCCACTGCAACTTGTGGTTTGATTGGGAATCCAGGTAAAATGAAGTTTTCCTTTAGAATCAGTTCTTGATCACGTGCTACCTCCCACATGTTTGAACAATGACTGTCTCTTTTGAGTACAGGGACTCTGTATCCTTTCTACTTCTTCGGATGCTCGCGTCAGCATTTTGTCCGCAGAATCCTTCAGTGTTGCAAATGGCGACTTGAATTTTCTGTTGGAGCGTGTTCTGTTGTTCTTTTTCTCACACTCAGCTCTGCACGTTCCAAGTCATTTAGTTAGAGCAACCAAAGTCGGTGAGAGAAAGAGGCCCAAGTACCCTGTGGGTGGAACTGGCTCACAGCCCCACCCTGAGGGCAGCCCAGACCCTCAGGCCAGGAGACTGTAAGAAGTGGAATTTGTCCCTCCTTTTTGTTTGTGTAGGACTGTGCCGGATTTCTCTGCACAGACTCAGAGCAGGCGAGGAGGACAAGCGCCCAGGAGGTAGCACCAGAGAGATAAGGAAAAGACGTTCTGGACCCTGTGTTTATCAACTGAACAGGAATGCTGCTGAAGAAAGGCATTTGCAGACTTTGTGCCAGCTGGGTGGGCCCTACTGGGGGTGGGGGGAGCACTGGGGACCACCGAATTAGTCAGAGGTCCCACAATCCTGCTTCTCGGTCGCCATGTGGCAGAGATTCAAGGGCGGAGTCCTCTCCCCTCTGGAAAATATCTGATACAACTCGTTTCCCTTTTCTCCCCCCACCACACTCTTACAAGCAGCCCCAGACAGGATATGGGTGTGGGGTCAGCATGCCCTAAGGACCCAGAGGAAGAAGAGGAATGTGAAGGGGAGGGGCCAGAGGGAGGAGGGAGCATTGCTAGGGAGAGGGGAAGGACAGGCAGCTAGGGCTTGGAGGATAGAGGTACCTGAAGGTGGCAACATATTTCCCAACTACTTGCAAGCCTCCCAAGGTGGTTGAAAGTGTGGCAGGGCAGCCTGGTGTCCCCTCAACCCCCATTTCAATCCTGACTCTGGTCCGGGATCTACCCCATCTCCCACCGAGAGAGACCCTAATTTGGATTGGCTGGTGCTCCCATGCCAACTTCTCACAGGGACAGAAAAAGACCTTTCCAAAATAAACTGATGTGTGGGGGTCCCTTGGGGGAGAAACACAGACCTCTCTTCTGCTTGGCCAATTCACAATAAGTATAGCACCGGCTTTCTGAAATGTCCTTTGTTGGTCCTTCAAGCTACAGTCACCGATTTAACTTCTCCCATAGTGTGTGCCAGGGCAGAGAGTGATCCCGCGTGGAAGCGCCCTGGGAACCCTTGGGGCAGAAAGCTAGCCTTTTGGCGATGTTGGGAACTAGAGCCCATGGCCTAGTCCTCATCCCCAACGCAGAGACACTGAAGCGATCCGCCTGAGGTTTTGTGGGGAAGGAGTTGCTGCTACCCGAGCTCCCACCTCTGCAGAACAAGGCCAGAGGGACACTGCCCAGCTGAGGAAATAAAGCAAAGGGCGGGCCTAGCTCAGCCTGGGGTCAGATCATCACCAGCTGTGCAGCCCAAGGAGCGAGAGGAGGTTCTCATTAGAATTGGAGCCACCGGCCAGCTCAACGCTGCCAAGAGGGCACCGTGTAGCACCCAGGAAAGTACCCGTGCTGGGGCTTCAATGCCTTTGCATCAGCTTTCCTTTTGCTCCAAAGGCCAGGTCTGGAGCGCCCCGTGGGTTGACCAGAGCCTCCCCTCGGAGCCCCCTTGGGTCTAGAGCCAGTTCTTCCAAGAGGGTGGACCTAGAGGAGGGTCAGCAGAACAGACTGAGAGCAAAGCCTTTAGACCATCTTAAGGGTAGAGAGGATGGGGAACCTGAGAGTGCTGGGAGCGAAATCTTCAGGGAAACTGAGAGCAACTTGTCAATGTTTACAACTGCCAAGTCCACGGAAAAGGAGCGCTGGTGACACAAGGGTTAAGCTCTTGCCTGCTCACAGAAAGGTCTGTGGCTTAAACCATCACCGTCTCTAGATGTACTCACACAGACTTCAGCCTATGGAGCAGTCCTCTGTGCTATAGGACCACCAGGAGTTGAAACCCACCCACAGCGCCTGATAACAAGTAGCCCAGATAACGAGACGGACACTGTTACTCCCCAAGGGAAGCAACTCACACCTATTTACTGAGCAGCTAGGATTTCTCAGCAAGATGGTACAGGGAGGTGTGCTGTGACCCGGCCCTTAGCTTTAGAACTTGGAGGGGGCATTGGAGAAGGCAAACCCGAAAAGTCTCACAAGGGTGGATGTGAGTGGGGACTGGGGAGAGTGGGGGGGCCCAGAACCCCAACCACCTTGACCTTCTTTCCAGTGGAAATCTGTGTGGGTATACCAAGGGGGACATGTATGTATGGAGTTTCCAATATTAAATGTGGGGGGGTGGCACGGAGTGTCCTTGTCACTCCATTTGACTGCCTCCTTTACCAACTACTTGTTAGATTCAGGGAGCCTCACCCTTGGGTGCACTGGCTCCCATTCCTTAATGTCCAGTTCTGCACCACCCCTCTCCCCATCTCGGGGAGCAGAGGATGCCTGGGCCACTTCCCCATCACCCGCAAAGGCCACTGCTTTGCGACTGACCCACCAGGAGTAAAACTCCGGGAGCTTTTCCGCCCCCTCCTAGGAGCCGCTCCGCACCTCTGCCAATGCCAGGAGACACCCGCTCTCCAAAGCGCTTATTTTGGAGGCAATTTAGTCGAGCCGATTGTCTGACCCTGGGAAGTCTAGTGCGCCCAGCCGAGCGAGCACCTGGGACAATTCACACCCACGGCGTGGTCGGCTTCCCTTCCTAACCGCCATCAGTTCCCAAGTGAGACGTGGGTCCCAGGAGTTCAATTCAAAGGACCCCTTCTATTACAACCGGCGGGCGCGGCAGTGCGAGTGCAGGGGCAGGAGCCCCTTTCCCTCCGCTCTGGACACTCGGTTCCCCCCAAAGCCTCCACCTTTCCTGCAGTGGAGGACCGGCGGCGCCGTGCGCGCGCGCGCGCGCTCTGTACTCACGCAGCAAACTGAGCCAGCAGAGCGCGATCCAGCCCCGCGGCAGCCTGGACCCCGCGCGCGCGCCGCTCCGGCCCAGCATCCTTCCCGCGCGGCTCCCGGAGCAGATGCGCCCACTCGAAGACGCTGCTTGGCCCGGCCTGGACGCGCTCCTCCCGCCCCCTCCGCCCAGGAGGGGGGGTGAAAGAGTCTTGCTTCTTTTCCCCTCCCCTCCCTCCTTAGTCTTGGCAAGGCCGGCCCCCTCTCCTTGGCTGCCACTAACGTGAGCTTCTCCGCTTTGTCCCAAAGGCGGGGGACTTTGGGAGGGAGGCTGGGATCGCTGCCTCGGAGGCCAAAAAAGGTGGAGGCTTGCGCGGGCCCCAGACGCCTTGTTCAGTTTTAGATAGAGGTCCTGATCTTACGTCTTAGAGCTCCTATGGCCTGACTTCCACTTCACGTTAACCCCTTGTGCTAACTTTTGTCAGTAGCCAGGGCAGCTGAGCGTTTCCTGCGATTCTTCCCGCCCACCCCCCTTTAAATTTTTTTTTTTTTTGCCTTCCTCATTCTTTAAAATATTTAAGCCTATAGCAATGTTGCAGAGGGGAATTTACTATCGGGACCTGAGTTTACAAGCTGAGCTTTTCGCTAATCAGGTAGAAGCCATGTGTCCAATCTGACACATTTAATGATAGTCGTACCAGATAGAGTGCCGCACGCTAATGGAGCATAGACAGTGAACAAGCCGCGTAAAGGACTGCAATTATTCATTTTACCCGTCCGAGCCATCTTCTGGACTCTGCACGCCCCCTCCCCCTTTTGGCAGCATCTCTAGTTAGTTTCAGAGGGGTTCTCCTTTGATCTTCTATGCCTTCTTTCCTAGTTTACGCTTAACCATTATTTAATATAGAGAGACAAAGGCTCCTCTGGCACCCGACATGCCTCCTTGCCAGTCGCCCCTTCTCTGGCCCTTACTCTGTGCCCTGCAGGCTTTGCCTGGAGAGAAGGACTTCCGTGGACTCAGGGCAAAGCCCTGCATGGCACAGCACAGCGGCACGCACTCCATAGGGTTTTCATGGATGATTTTTTTTTCTGCAAGTAGATCACCAGGCTGCTCTGCTGACGCACCTGCACCTCTCAGTGAACTCAAACCTCCACCCATTCTGTGAGTTAACCATTTGCACCCCACTGGCTCTCCACTTCGACTTCACCCTCTGCTAACTGACAGGCCCAAGCCCTTCAATTTTTCACCAGTTGTTCTGAACACAGGTGACTTGCAACTGCAGGAATTCCAAGCTGGCGCAGTTAGCCATGTCTCAGAGGGGAGGTTGGATCCTGAGTAAAGATACTGGAAGCTGGACAGACGGCTCCCCGGAGGGCATAAGATAAAGTGTACCTCTCGAGAGCCTGCATGGAACTCCAGGCTACTCACCATCCAGTCCAACCTCTTCCATGTTTTCTATGCCACCAGCCTGACCAGGGAGCAAGGGGTGTGGAACCAGTACCCTAGGGTCCTTTCTGATTGATTTCTTTTTTGTTTTAATTACATCATTTTATTGGGGGCTTGTACAACTCATCACAAACCACACATACATC